TTAGAGACCTGGAAATTCTTTGTGAAAATGTGGCCAAAGAGCTAATACACAAAGATTCTCAATAAAATATATAATCATGTAATTATGTGACTTATGGTGGAAATAGTCCATTATAAACCAAACTCAACCTTAAAATTCACGTTTTCTTTTCTGTGCTCATTTCACAGATGGTTGTTTTCAAGTGCCATTGAGTGGGTTCCAACTCATAACAACCCTGTATAGGGTTTCAGAGTGGCTGGTGGATTTGTACCATCTCCTGTGGTTATCATTCAATGCTTATTCTAACTTACTTAGGCACAAAAATAAAGACACTTCAATATTGAAATATAGGATAGAAAGTTTGAATTTCAAAGACATTTCGTATGTATGTGTTTGCTTATTATATTTGACCAAACACTTTTGAGTACATTTCACATACTCATTGTTAAGTGTCATCAGAAGTCTTGATCTAAAAATTTTTTTATTGAAAACTTACAAACATACTTTCCTAGGAGGAAGTAAGTTACAACCATGGGAAGATCCAGGCATTATAGGGACAAAAAAAATAATTCCTCAATTTGGAGTCCTCTTTACGAAAAGGAATAAGAAATATAAACATAAAAATAGAAATACGAATATATATTTACAGTGAGAAGAGTTACAACAAAGTACAAATGTAAAGGTCTGACAGATACCACAAGTACCACAAAATCAAGATAAAGAAATATTCTTATTTATGTACTATGAGCCCTGCAGGCACTGTAGGATAAGCACTGAATTGCTAACTGAAAGGTTGCCAGTCAAACCAGTCAGCTTCTTCATAGGAGAAAGATAGGGTTTTCTGCATCCTCTAGCATTGTTAGAAAGCAAAAGGTCATTAAGACAAAAACGAACGAAAGACAAAATGGATGTCATAAGAGAATCTGAAACTTGCTTTCAGAGTAGAAATGCTAAAGCAAACAGAAGAAATGAGGAAGGTGAGGTAAAAGAGCTGAACAGAAAATTTCAAAGGTCAACTTGAAAAGGCAAAGTCAAATATTATAACAAAATGTGCAAAAGCCTGGAGTTGAAAACCAAAAGGGAGTAACATGCTCAGCATTTCTCAAGCTAAGGGAACTGAAGAAAAAATTCAAGCCTTGACTTACAATATTGAAGGATTCTCTGAGAAAAATTGAATTATATAGAGAGTATCAAAAAAAGATGGAAGGAATATGCAGAGTCTCTGTACCAAAAAAGAAATGGCCAGTGTTCAACCATTGCAAAAGGTAGCATATGATCAAGAGTCAATGATACTGAAGGAAGAAGTCCAAGGTGCATTAAAAGAATTGGCAAAGAACAAAGCACTGGGAATTGATGGAATACAAATTGAAATCTTTCAACAAACTGATGTGTCACTGAAGGTAGTCCCTCATCTATGCCAAGAAATTTGGAGGACAACTACCTGGCCAAATGACTGGAAGAGATCCATATTTGTGCCCATTCCTTAGAAAGGTGTCCTAACGGAATGTGGAAATCATCAGACAATGTCATTAGTATTACATGCTAGTAAAATTTTGCTAAAGATAATTCAAAAACAGCTGCAACCATACATTGACAGAGAACTTTCAAAGGTTCAGGCCAGATTCAGAAGAGGACATGAAACGCAGGATATCATTGCTGGAGCTGCTCATTGGAAACCCTATACAGGGTCACTATGGGTCAGAATTGACTCGATAACACTTAACAACAACAACAATATATGAATATTAATGGACTTTCAAAAGAACAGACCAATCTGTGTTAGAAGAAGTACAGCCAGAAATTTCCTTGGAATCTAGGATGGTCAGAATTCATCTCTCATTCTGTGTACATATCATCAGAAGGGACCAGTTCCTGAAAATGGATGTCATTTTGTGTGAAGTGGAGAGTCGGAGAAAAAGAGGAAGCCCTTCTATAAGTTTGATAAATTTATATGTTGTGTTATCAAGTGTTGAACTTGTCATATCGAGAAAGTGTAAGAACCCTTATTTCTCACAAATAAAAAATATTTACTGATAAAAAAGAAAGGTTTTCAATAAATGAAAATTTTACCTTTTTGTAGAATTTTATGCATCTGATATATGGAGGAATTTTTCTGAGATTAATTTCTGGGTTATGCATTTCAGTCATTATTTCTCTTTAACTACACACTTAATTCTAGGGTTAGGGCATGTGAGGCATGATCGTAGCATTATAAGATGCCTGAACTCGTACCTTCCTGTCACAGCACCTCTTGCGTCCTTCAAGAGGGCTGGGTGTGAGGAGAATTACTGTGAGCACTTCTAGACTGTGGGTTGAATTCATTGCTATATGCAGGTAATTATTAGCCATGAAAATTTATACTATAACACCCAACTTAAATGTATTCCCCACCTCAGCTTCCTTTTACTCACATTTAAAAGTACCCTGATCTCGTCGATGTCCCTAATATGAACAGAGAGTAACAGAGGGGAGACATTTTCTATGACTTCTGTTGTGCTGTACCACCAAAGTTGAGAAGGTCAAAGAGACATAGCTCTCGAAAATTTGAAAACATTTACTATCTAGCCTTTTAGAGAAGAATGTGACACCTGCTTTAGACAGTGAACGCATGGAAAATAATAAAATTGAATGTCATTATTTTAAAAGATTATAAATAATCTGTGATATATTGTTAGGGTTTAAAAAGCAAGCAGCAGAATGATAACCACATTATTAATATGTTGGAGTAATCCCTCGATTCCAAAGGTATTTATGAATTTGTTTAAGGATTTGTTTGTATTTGCAGACCTAAGTCTTATAAGGATATGCAAAAGAATGTTAACAGTGATTATTTATAGTAGTGGAATTTAAAGAACACCAGTCATTTTAATTTAGTGTTTTCGATTTTAACCTTGTCACATTGAGCCTAATTTAAAAATAAATTAGGACGGATTAAAAACTGAAAACAAGTAATATAACCCAATGTCATCAAGTCGATTCCAACTCTTAGAGATTCTACAGCACAGAGTAGAACTTTCCCATAGGGCTTGCAGGATTGAAAAGTCTTATGAAGTCTGACTGCAACATCTTTCTGGTGGGTTAAGCCACTGAGGTTCTCACCACTGTGCCACTAGTCCTCCTCCAAGCAACGTAAAGTACATACAATTTACCACTTTGAGTAAACTGTTTACCTGTCCTCTGTAACCCTCCACCCATCCATCCATTTATCATGTCCTTATTTACCTGTTCATATTGATCCACATTTCCCTGCTGCTTAAATTCCACCTCTTTCTCTTAGTTCATTTTTCTTCTTGCTTAGTAGATATTTCAACAAGGGCATTCACATTTCTGAAAAGGCCCAGTTTTGGCCTGAATCCTGAATAACAATTTAGCTGAGAAATAGAATTCTAGGTTGATTACTTCCCCTCTGTCGATTACTCCATTGTCTTTTGGTATATAATTTTCTCCGCCTATCTCCATTTGATAACATTTAGTATATGTTTTTTATCCTTGATATTCTAAAGTTTCCATATCCTCTGTTTTAGGAATGTTGTTGTTGTTGATGTTTAGTGCCGTCGAGTCGGTTCCTATCCATAGAGACCCTGTATAGGGTTTCAGAGGAGCAGCTGGTGAGCTTGAACCACCGACCTTACAGTTCAAAAGGCTTTGCAGTTTGACGCGTTAACCCACAGCACCACACCAGGACTCGTTTTAGTTCCTCGTATCCTGTACTTGTTGGTTTGTTATTAAGTGCCTTTGAGTCACTTCTGACTCATAGCAACCCCTGTATAGGGCTTCCAAGCCTTTTTTTAAGTTTTATTTTTGATAATACTTGCAGAAGCAGAAAGACTCATTTTTTTTCTCCTGCTGAGCAACTGGAGAATTTGAATCATGAACCTTGTGGTTTACAGTCCAGTGCTTATAGCATGGAGCTACCGCTCTTCCTACCATATTAAGTCGGTAAAAGTTCTTAGTTTTTATGGATGTCTGCACTATTTCCTAAAGAGCTCTGGTAGTGTAGTGGTTACAAATTAGGCTGTGAATCTTAAGGTCAGCAATTAGAAACTGCCAGCTGTTGGCGCAGGAGAAAGATGAGTCTTTCTGCTCCCATAAAGATTTACAGCCTCAGAAAACCTGTACAGGGTCGCCGTGAGTCAGAGCTGACTCCATGGGACATAACCACCACTATTTCCTAGATAAGTTTTACCATATTTTCTTTCAACTCATTAACTTTCTCCCTAATTTGTTATTTACTCGTTCTAGTTTTTAGAGATTACATTTTTAATTTTCAAATTTCTGTTTGATTCTATTTAATTTATAAATTCATCTGATTAAAAACTGAAAACAAGTACTATAACCCATTGTCATCAACTCGATTCCAACTCTTAAAGGTCCTATCGCACAAAGTAAACTTTCCCATTGGGTTTTCAACGTTGAAGTCTTGGAAAAACTCAATGGTTTGCTGCATCATTTTTTTTTTTTTTTTACTTATTAACATTTTCAGTTCCTTTATGTTTCTGAGGGTTTTAAAAATAGTGCATGGATTGCAACCCAATGTAAAGAATGCAACAACCTTATAACTGTACCAATAAACAACTTCATAATAAAGAAAAAAATTGAAATTGTCAAGGATTTCATTTTACTTGCATCTATAATCAGCGCTCATGGAAACAGCAGTCAAAGAATAACAGTGTGTATGGCATTGAGCAGATGGCTTCAAAAGATGTCTTTAACGTGTTAAAGAGCAAAGATGTCACTTTGAGAATTAAGGTGAACCTAAGGAAGCTATGGCATTTTCAGTTGTCTCATATGCTTACAAAAGCTAGAAAACGAGTAAGGAAGATCAAAGGAGAATTGATGCATTTCAGCTATGATTTTTTTTTTTTTCAAGTTTCAGATATTTATTATTCAATGTAAATCCCAACACGATACATTAACATGATTCCGTGCATTTAGGGAAGAAAGATATCCCGGTTAAGTGGGAAATTGTGCGGATGGCTTCTGGAAGACCTTCATTCTAAGCAGCTTTAAGGGAAAACATTTCATTTAGAAGTCGGGGCCTTCTTCTTCAATTTGCTGTAATCCACATTCACTGAGTAGAATTTGTATTGCTCATTGGGGCCCAGTTTTTTCCATGGTTCTGGGTTATTCTTTCTGTCCCAACTAACATATGGATTAAACAATGCCAGACGCATGACATACAGTGCTGCTCCCGTACCTCCAGCTCCAGTAAACACAAAGAGAGGTATCAAGCTTGGGTGTTTCTTGGCCTGACTGAGGATCTGGTGAAGCATGTTTGTGGACGAGGCCTCAGGTCCGGAAGGAAGAAACGAAGCCAGCAGGCCCAGAACCTAGGACCTCAGCTATGATTTTTTGCAAAGAATATTGAAAGTACCATGTGCTGCCAGGAGAACAAATTTGTCTTGGAAGAAGTACAGCAAAAATGTTCCTTAGTATATGGTAAGACTTTCTACCAGATACTTTGGATATTCTATCAGGAGGGGCCAGTCCTTGAAAAGGAGCCCCAGTGAGATGGATTGACAGAGTGGTTACAACAATGAGCTCAAATAGAACAATTGTAAGAGTGGGCCAGGACTGGGTAGTGAGTGTTTCCTTCTGTTTTAGATAGGGTTCCTATGAGTCAGAACTGACTTGAAGGCACCTAACAACAACAACAACGTAAGCTTGGTGTCTTAGACTAGGTTCTCTAGAGAAGCAAAGCCAGTGAAACTTACATATGATTATAGAAAAAGAAGTTTATATCAAGGAAGTGGTTTATACAGTTGTAGACGTTGGGGAGTCCTAAATCCAGGTCAGATGAAGCGAAATCAGCAGGTCTGGCAAGGCAAACAGGAGGCCTGCGGGTCCAGCAGGTAAGAAGGCAGAATACTGAATCCCCAGGAATGGCAGCTAATAGAGCAGACCACTGACTAAAGTCCAAAGAACTGGAGGTTGGAGGATGAGACTGATGCAAGATTTAGACCCAGCAGAAAGCAAGCAAGCCTTGCCTGAGAGTCCAGTATGTACTGGAAGCAAGCCACACCCCCTAGGAAATTTCCTTTCAATTGATTGTTGCTCTTGGCAGACTTCATCTCAGAGTTAATTACATTATAATAGATCTCATCATGGCAATGACTGCATTTCTACTGCCAAACCTCTTAGAATGCTGGCCCGGTCAAGCTGACACAAAACCTTCACTATCACACTTGGGTAAAGTTGCAAATAGCAGAGAACTTGACCATGGTTTAAATCATGAGGCTTTTTGAATCAGCAACACTTAACAACAACAACAATGAAACATCTGTAGCATGGTGGTGGTGGTGATGTGCTGTGGACTCAGTTCCGACTCCTAGTGACCCTATACAGGGTTTCCGAGGCTATAAATCTTTATGGGAGCAGAAAGCGTCATCTTTCTCCCATGGAACAACTGGTTGTTTCGAACTGCTGACCTTGAGGTTCGCAGCCCGATTTGTAACCACTACGCTACTAGAGCTCCTTAGCATAGGTGGTACAAATGGTTAGGTGTTCTGCTTTTAACCAAAAGGTGGATGTTTCAAACCCACTCAGCAGTGCTTCAGGAGAAACATGCCTTCACAACCACGGAAACTCTACTTTTCCACAAAGGGTCACTCTGAGTTGAAATGGATTCTATGGCTCCTAACAATAACAAATGAGACCTCTGAGGAAAGTACTTCAAGATTTGAGTTAGAAGTTCCCTTAGGCATCATAGGCCCAGCCTCCTCCTGTCATTTATCTATTCACATCAGAATGAGTATTGATATTCTTCTTAAAGGTCATCAAATGCCTGCTTCTACTTCTCTTCTATTCTTACGTGAGAATTGGGTACAAAGCAGTAAGTAAACAGGACAGTATCAAAAATGATTTATATTTTTCAATTCAAAAAGCATAAAATCAATCAGAGGGGGAAAATTCTCCACTTATGGCCCAATAAATTCCCCTTCATATCTGTTTTCATATCAGAGCTGGGCCATATAAACACATACATAAATACATACATAAACACATACATAAACACATACATAAACATACATAAACACATACATAAACACATATATAAACACATACATAAACCAATGACTTAGCAAACAGGAACTAATGATACACAGCAGGACATGAAAAAAGAGCAGCAGCCAGAAATTTCATCACATCGTCTTTGCTTTCTTTCTTTGCCTTTCCTAACTAATTCTCCCTGTGATATTTAAAGTGCTGTCTTCTTCCGGCCCAGTGTTCAGAACCACTTGTTGTTATCTGTTAGTTATTAGAATTGAATTATTTTAAGTGAGAAATTTTGTTTACTGATGAAAAAACATTGTCCAAGATAGGCCTCTTAAACTATTGTTACTGTTAAGTGCCATCAAGTTGGTTCTGACTCATAGTGACCTTACATAGGGTTTCCAAGGAGCAGCTGGTGGGCTTGAACTGTTGACCCTGGCTTAGCAGTCCATTACTTATCTTACAGTACCAAACCAGGGCTCCTCTTTAACTGTGAAGGTAGTATATACTCTTAAAAGTTCTTTTATGTAGGTTCTGTAACTTAGAGTCCCTGGATAGGATCTTAGCTCACATTCTTGTTTTTCTTCTGTAAGCCCCCATAGCATCAATTTGGACTCCTGGTGTGTTGCTGTGGGTTAGTGCACTGGACTGCAAAGTCACTTTGAACCAAAAGGTCAGCAGTTCAAGCTCACCAGTCACTCCTTGGAAACCCTATACAGGGTCACTGTGGATCAGAACCCACCTGACTGCACTTAACAGCAACAACAACATCTATTAGTATTCCTTAATTTATTTTTCTGCACATTGTTGTTAAGTGCTGTCTAGTCTGTCTCTGACTCAGAGCCACCCTGTATAGAGTTTACATCTGAGAAGCAAACTACAATAGTGTGGTAGGGCATATTGGACTCTGTCCTTATGTTAGAGACAATGGATGCATCTAAGTGTCTGAAGTCATGAGCCAGACTATTAGGGGATCACCTCCTAGATGAAGAAAGTGCTATACCAAAGGAATAGTGTTGACCACTGTCCTCTGTCTGTTTTGGAGAGAATGACCGTATTCTTTGACCAGGTATTAAAACAAAGGAAACTGCAGTGGCTAGATCTTGTATCAAGAGTGATATTTAGATACTAGCTGCAGCTAGCCAAGGTAGCATACACAGTAGCAATGCTAGCAAGACACCAGATCACAGTACTGTCATCATTCCTGAAGAACAGATTGTTTAACCTGGGTTGCAGTGGGCCCTGCTGACATTATTTGTTGCCATTTTCTAATTATATTACTTCTCTCTTTTCTAATCATGATTTTTGCTTTACACCAGGAGTTGTTTTGACACAAGATTGGAATCTCAAGATTTTAAAACACTTTCTTTGAGTCTCCTTAATGTTGTGGGTGAACGGCTGTCATTAAGAAAGTGTTTCATATAGCAGCATATTTCAATAGGTGTGTCATGAATAATACCCCTGCTGCCATTTACTCATGTGAAATGGCTCAGACAAGTTCTGCATCTCATACTCTCACTGATCTGAAAAAGCAGATGCATTTTAGGGGAAAGCCAAGAAATCTATCTACACAGAAACCTACACTTCAAACCAGATTTTAACATTCTGTTTGCCACAGATAGAAGGGACGCTTAGAAAGAAAAGAGCCTAAGTTTTTATTTTGTTTTGTTTTTGACTCGCTTGACTTTAAGATTTTAAAAAGTTTTATTTGCAATTTTATTACAAAAATCTGTAATCACAATTAATTAACACACATAAAATACTTACTGTGAATTTTTTTCCTATTGAGTGCAAATATCACTTTGGTATACTAGATTCTGGTTGACTTCCTCACAGTCTATGAAGCTATAGCCAAATATTTATAGTCAGAATTTGCAGAAAAATCTATTAATGTCTGTACCAGCTTCGAATCACTCATAGTGAATGCCAAATTCCTAATGAACTTTACCTATGAGGCTCATCCGTTGTAGTCCCTGCCAGCACTCAAACTGTCTCTGCCTCTGCTTCTCTCTCTGTGCATCTGCCAGGTAGTGTAGGATAAGCACTGGACTACAAGGTAGGTTTGAATTCAAAGGTTGGTGTTTCAAACTCACCAGTTGCTCCTCGTAAACCTTATACAGGGTTGCTGTGAGTTGGAACGGACTCAAGAGCAGTTAACAACAACAACAAGCCTCAAATACAGTGTATTCATTCTTATTTCTTCTGCATCTTTACCGTTCTTTGTTCTCTGAAATATTATTGCTTATTTTTCACCTAGAAAATTCCTACATGTCTTTTCAAGACAATGGAAATATTGTCTTACGTGTGAAACCTTCAACATTTCACCCATTCCACTTGTAAGCTTCTGTGGACTATAACTTACTTAGGGGTGAAGACCTAGGCTATATTCATCTTGGTGCTCATTGTGTCCTTAAAAACATACCTAGCCAGACAAGCATGCTTATTAGGTAGGGGACAGAAGTAATCTGAGGGCTAAGAAATTTTACTGATGGGTATTATTTGTAGCAAAGGAATGGACTGAGAGAGGATCTTTTGTCACCTCCAGAAAGGGTCCAGAGACCTCAAAAATAGCCTTTGTGCACATGCCATTGTGCGTAAAGAAAGGAGTGAGTCTGTAGGCTGTGCAGTACACCTGGAAAGCCTTTCCCTAAAGCAATGAACACAGTACCTGTCACCAGAGATACTCCATGAATGTCTTCAGTTTTCCACATGTGTAAGTAAAAGTAACTATTGTGAAGGCTCTGTGTGGGAGGATGGCTGTGTTTACAAAGAGAATAGGTTCACTCTGTTTTTGTGACAACTCTTCTCTTCCCTTATCATTCCCCTGTTTCTAGAACATAGCATCAGAAGTTTTTAAAAAGGTGAAAGGAAAGTGAGAGAGTCAGAGTTCAGGGAAGGTTAAGAGGAAATCAATCAGTTTCTGAGTGACAGCCAGACTCTTCTCAGTTAAACCATGGTAACATCTATAACTTTGATCCTCGTCGTTTGACCCTACCTAGGAATACAGTTCTGTTGTCCATAACTACTGAAAACATATTCCCTGCCTATCACACTACAAGTTCTGGGGAGGGGAGTACAGAATATTTGATTTACAGAATATCTTTCTTTTAAAAAAGTCTCTGATTGTAGAATTTGACAAGGTAGACTGTAGATGCATGAGAACTGGGTACATCAGTATAAACTCAGGTTTAGCTTAATGTAGTTAAACATCGTTACATATAAAAATATTTATAGACATCTGTATACATCCATATTTTTCCTTTTCCTGTTAACAGAGAGA